GACCCTCCAGTCCCTGGTCATCCTCCATTTCCTGATAAATATACTGTATTACTTACCTTTTTCATCTTGTCTCAGTGGATTATTTTTGTTTGTCAGAGCTCCGAAACCTAAGTGAAAATTATAACTACCAAAATTGACAATGTTGAGCGTATGTAAATATTAGGCTGTAACTATATGGAGCCCTTTAGTTTAGCAGACGTGCAGTATTTCTCCCAATTGACTTTCACTAAGACTGCGACATGTGTGCATCAGAAGCAAAGTCCCCTGGTGTATAGGAATGCTTGGATATGTGGACATTTCAACATTCCAGATAGTGGGTGAGTGCTGTGTTTTTGTTTTTGCTTCTTTACATAAGTGAGATACCATTCTGAGTTCATTTAATCAGATTCCCCGTTTAGACCTTTTACATCCTGCACACATTCAATTTCAGAAAAGACACAACACACACTAAAAAAATAGCCTGCTCACAACATATTTTATACAATCTCCCAACTAGTTTCTAAAAATGGTAGCTCTGTAGTGTAATGCATTCATATTTTCACATTTATGTTTATATAATATATTTTCGAACAAATGTCCAGAGTGTGGTGTTGTGCCACATTTTGTTTCCAGACCAAACAGGCTGATGGGTGGACCAGAATCCTCCCAGCTCCCACGACTGGTATGGCAATGGGGATCTATCGATATGGAGACATGAGGTCGACCAGCAGAGAGGGGAAATGTATCTAAGCAGAGAAACCTGAGATATCTGGCCTCAGGCGTTCTGTGAGCGTCTGCCCTGTCCTCCAGAATGAACTAATGAATTAATGACTGGGCGCCTAAGTTACATGGATGAATCATTTAGGAAGCATTTGGAGGTGAATGTGTTCACTGCATATTTTTTTTCAGCAGTTAAGCATGAAAAAACAACAAAAAGCATTTGTTTTACTAATTCAAGCTTGCGCAAAACAATAGTAGAACTTGCTTAGCTCCACGAAATGAGTGAAACTTCTGCCGCTCAGCCAACTTTCACTGGGTAATACATTTGCTCAGAGAGGAAAAATGCTGACAACTCAAAGGGCTTGAGGCATACAGCAGCGCGGAAGGTGGAACGCACCTTCAAACACGCCAACACACTTGTGTCAAAACACTCTTACTGTACTTTTATGGTTGGTTAAATAGTGGCAGAGAAAATTAAACTGGCAACTAGACCGGCTGTATTTTCATTCTGAGGATATGTCCAAAGTTCAAGACACAGTGTTGTTGAACTACCCCAACAGGCCCAGCAGAGATTGGGGTGGGGTCTGTTGCTCCTAATGCAGAATACAAATAAAGGGAGGGGCTGCCTTGAGGGTCTGGAGCTCTGTTACCAGGACTGACAAGGTTTTTAAGACTGTAGTGGAAAGTATGTGAGGCCAAGTAGACGTTTTAGCCACTTTAGCTTTCTTGCATCTTTTCTCAAATAAAAATAAGTGATATTGTTTTTTCTAGAAGGTTTAGTTTAACACACTCAAAGTAACCCTTCCTTAAATTAAAGGTTCCTTTAAGTCAATGGTGTAGTGATACGCAGGTATACGGACTATACCCACTAGAAAAGCTTAAGAATTTCAGTATACTCACTTAAAAGTACCCAGCGATACATGACATATCATTAGGCACGTGTCACTGATACGTTAAATGGCAGTTAAACACTTCCGTAACAATCTGTGTATGCATCGCTTTGCTTTGATACTGTTATATAAAATTTATAGCATGTTTTTTTATACAAAGTCAACTGTTGTACAAAGTTTGTTGTTCATTTATTCAAATATAAGCATCAGAGAAATTTGGAAATGTTTAATACGCTTAAAAATCTAAATAAATTGAGGATTACAGTGTACTAACCAGTGTACTTTGGTTTCTAAGCACAGTATACCCACTACAACAATGTAGACTACACCACTGCTTTAAGTGTTGTACAAACTTACATTCAATTCAATTCAATTCATGAATACTTTATTAATCCCAAAGGGAAATTATTTGTTGTTGTAACTCATTATCCTCATTTCATTAAGAGATGTTATAGATGCTGATGGCTGTAGACAGGAAGGATCTCTTGTAAAAGTCCATCCCACAGTGGATCCTAAGAAACTGGCTGCAGATGCAGTCCGATCTGTCCACCCAGATTCGGCTGGCCTCTCATCAGTTCCCTCGGGCTGTAGGACCGCCCAAATGCCAGCAGAACTCCTCCCAGAGCGATGGCCACTCCTCCCAGCAGTCTGCCGAGCTCCTCGTCACTGCGAACAGCCAACTGTGCCGAGGGCTGATCCCGTCCTTCCGCTGTCATGAGCCGTGTTTCCTGCTAGTTCCAGGATCTCAGTGGTCAGGCACTCGAGCACAGCTGGCAGGTAGATGAGAATGCGTCCACAGAACATCCTTTTCAACTCATTTGATATTTGGGACTGTAGTTGAGATATTATTCGAGCTTTTGAGATGTTAATCAGCTGCTGTTGGTTGTAGAAAACATGCTACTTAATGATGACAAGGGACAACGTTATGACCGTTTTGTGATGCACAGTTTTATGTGAGATCTTGCAAATTGGGTTAGCTCTTAGAGTATGAGCTACTGCCACACCAAATTATAGCTTAATATCTGTAAAACTGATGGAGTTATAACCATTTAGTGTTATCTAGGTTTATTATCTGTAGTAATCAACTTGAATTGGCTTGATTACAAAAGTTGATGAATTGTAGATGCACACCCTAAATTACTTTCTTAGAGTTTCTCTAAAATCTGTCAGGTGATGCATGAGAGATTTTGCTAATGGACAGAGGAGGTTTAGTCTAACAATTAAAGTAAATGGCAGAAGTTTAAGTAAATGCGTTGCACAAAGTGTCTTGCTTGTAGTGTGGGCTGGGAATGTGTAAAATTGGAGGGTAAAGCCATTTTGAGTTGGTAAATGTCAGCTAAGGTGGTAGTGGTGGTCATCTTGAATTGGGTTGACTCCAAAAGTTAAGATGTACACCCAAGGAATAATTTCTGAAAGCTTCTTTAAAATCAGATCAGTGGTTCTTAAAGTATTTTGCTAACAGACACACGGCTGACTTAAAAAAGTAAATTGGTAAGTTTTAAATACAATTTTTGTACAATTAGGCACTAAAGACAAAATGTTCATGCCACTTAAAAAGATGCAAAATTTTGGATGGGGCACATATTGTGTCCGCATATTTGTTAATTTGCTGGAAAAGTATTATTTATTTATTTATTTGTCCAAAAGCTTTGAATTTAGACAGTAAAGATGTGTAGTTTGGACTTTGCTTTGTTCACTTGTAGTTTCATTATTGATATTCTGTTTTTTTTTTTGTTTTTTTTTAGCAACTTCATTTAAAAATAGTTGGAGTTTTTTTGTTTGTCTTTGGTTTCAACTGCTGGTCAAATGTTGACCATTTTTGTTCTAAAAGCTGTCAGTTCAAATGTTATTGTTAATTGTCCTGGAATGGACAATCACCCTGCAGCCTCCACAAAATACATGTTGAACAGCATGAAAGTTTTGTGTTTTAGCTTGTTTTGAACCACATTTAACTCAGAAAACTTGTCTTTACCACCATAGGCAGAGCAGAGTTCTATAGCTGCGAGGTGGCACATGTTTAGGTGTAACTTTTTATATTTAAACCTGCATTATAAATAGAAAACACATTCCTTCAAACCTGAATTACCTGTGACCTCCTTTTCATTGACTCCGCGGATCTACTTCTAAAAAGAGAAATGCAAAGCTATTCACTGCTTTGGCAAATAAAGACAGAACTGATGTCGCGAGTAATCACTTGCGTCTTATTATTGCGGTCGAAGGTGAAAGGGTGATAATGTTTTCCCTGTGTATGTGCAATTATGCATGTGTCTATGTATTGACAAAATATTTCATGAACCCTGTACGTATTTTATTGCTGTTTGTCTTTACAGATAAATTGCAGGATGAGGTCCAGGAAAAACATTTGCTTAGCCAAATCAACTCATCTGAATTTGCAAATACAACACCACAGCTTTGAAATGTGTTGACTGAGAGTTAGCTTGTAAAAAGAATTGATCATATCTCAAACTGATAGTTCTAGTTTTTTATTTATTTGCTGTGGTAGAACCAACGTTTTAAATATCGCCTGAATGATCAGTAGTCTGTTACACTTCCACAATCACTCGCTTAATCAGTCAAGATAAGTCTATATGCTGGCATAAAATAAAATGTTTTACAGCGAGGAGATTTTTTAAAAGAAATTTTATTTGAAAACTTGGTTTTGTCTCAGTGTGATCCGTGATACATACATAAGAAACGGACAACAGCATGAGATAAAGAAAGAAAAAGCAGCCCTGAAAACTGCTTTAAACAGGAAAAACAAGTCTTCTAGGCACCCAAACATTGTCCAGTTCATACGTTTTTACATTTTCCTTAACAAATAGTGGGAAAGGCGTATTAACTTTTGGTATATTTGTGTAATGAATGCCAAGTTTTCAACCAAAAGCTCTTTTTGGTTTTGTTGTCTGTCATATCAAGACCAAATTGATACCCTGCTTTATGACTGAATGAATAATAAGATCATTTTTAGGAGGTTGCTCTTAAAATACCCAGGTGCAATGGCTGGGTTATAAAGAAATTAAAAAGAACTGCCAAATTAAAACCTTAGTAAGACTGAGGAAGTTGGAGAACAATTATTCAAGAACAGTTTAAAAGTTATACAAATGTTTTCCTAATTTGAAACTAAATATAAAATGACATGTACATAATGGTATTTGTATCCTTGGTAGCGATCAGGCAGAATTTGCTTTAGACTTGTAATATATTTCACTCATACCTTCCTTACATGGAAGGACGAATCTGTCATTCATGGTAAATGAAGGCTATGGGCGGTCCTTCTTCTGTAATTGTCCAATCATATTAAAGCTTCTACTGGCAGGGGCGGAGCATCACTGAGAAATTCCCTGCGCTCATTGGCTGAAAGACCCAAATGAGGGCGGAGCTTGTAGACGGAAGTGTCTCCCGACTGGCCCAGCTGTCATCTACAAGAGAGAAGAGACCATTTACACCGGCTGCTTAGGAAACGCAGAAAAAAAGGGGAAAACGCTGAAATATGGCAACATTTAAACGATAAGGTCATGACGCCGAACTGAAGGTAGCTATACCCGACGAAACACCAGCTGTAGTTGCGTACTAACACGTTAGAGCAACGGCCGAGACCGAGCTGCGGCATTTGGAGATGTGAAAAAGATGACAAGGATTGGTAGGTTGTATGACATTGAACGTACAGCAGGACACGAAACAGACGAGGTCGTTTAAAGAGCCACACACACCATTTGCGACTTGGCATGTCCTCCTGTCGAAATATATGCCGCCGATAAAAGTGTTGGGGGAATTTTTGATGTCGTCCATTGCCTCCTCGGGGTGGTTTGCAAATCTGCCTGAACGTCTGTAGCAGCTCGGCGAAGGGAACTACCCCAGATTCAGAACAGACAAGAGACGTCATCAACATTTTCCTGTATTTAAATGGTCGCGAGTGAAGAGGTCATTGCAGGAAAAGCGACATTAGAGTCGGTAGGTGTACGTGTCGAAGCCCAGCACGGTGCTGAGCGTTCATGTTCGCCCTGTACTGAACAAAGATGGTTTAAATGTGACTATCTGTGGCTGTGCGTGATTAAAAACGACGCATGGAAGGTGGTGGAGCAGCTGTTAGCTTGGCTGCTAGCTGCTTAACGACCTTTGGAGACGTCAGCTTCACCAGCTCAGGCTGTTAGACGCCTGCTCTGGTGAGGTTGGGTGTTTTCCATGGTTGCCTGCCTGCTGTAGTGTTATATTTCATCCAGGCCTCCCATGGCCCAGCCAGTCAATGATTTAATCTCATTGATTGCATCACAAGACCAGGCAGGCTGCAGCACAAGCACATTCACTGCGTCTGGCAAGGCTTCTTTGTGATTTGTCTTTTTGCAATGTCTTTAGTGATCATATTAACATATTAACCTTTGTCTGGCCACTTTTAACCCACATTCCAGGATCAAGACTGCAGTGAAAGCCAAAAGACGACGGAAAATTTACTGGGCGTCCTAAATGGGGGACTACGGCTTTGGAGTTCTGGTGAAGAACGGCAGCGGCAACAAATCTGCTTTCCCCGTTAGGATTCCTCCGCACCTTCAAGCCCAGCACCCTCACCACCCGTCGAACCCTCCCAGCCCCCCTTCCTTCGTAAACAACACCTGCTCCACCAATGGGGGCAGTGCTTGGCTGTTCCCTACTGTAGCCCAGCACAGTAACATGCAAGATGAGATTCTGGAGTCGGACAAGTCCAAGGCTTTGGACCTACAAGACATGCAGGAAAAGTCCCAGGCCCAGCCTCGAGCCCTGTCTCCAGGCCAGCAGGAGCCCGGTGGAGGTCTAGCGGAGCTCGAGGGAGCCCTTCCCGAGGATGTCTCAGTGGAGAAGGGTTCCTTGGAGAGCAACAGTGGAAAGGAGAAGTTGAGAATGGAGTCTCCAGTGTTGGGCACCTTCGAATACCAGGACAACCTGGGAATGGGTACAAGCTGTGCGCAGTCTGTCTCCTCCTCGTCTTCACTGACCACGTTTAACTGGTCCCCTGCGGTCCCATCTACCCAGTCTCCAGTGATTGGTGAAGATGTTGGAGGGTTCTTTGGTCCTACTGGCTCCAACACAAACGGCCCTCCGCTTTTGTTTCCAAACTTCTCCCACCACGCTGGCCCTGGCTTTAGCGTAGGGGGTGGTTTCTCACCTCAGATTGGACCAGTCTCCCAACAACACCCTCCTGCCCCACACCCCCACAGTCAGGGGGTTCCACAGCAGCATCGACGCTCTCCAGCTAGTCCTCATCAACCACAGCCTCCCTTCCCCCTGCATCCCCATCGCGCTGGACCGTTCACACAGCTACCCCATCTTGCTCCGACTCAGAGCAAACCTCCCTCACCTTGGGGAAGCTACCAGAGCTTGTCCACTCCCACATCCACCTCTTGGAGCCCTGGTGGATATGGCAGCTGGGGTGGGACACAAGGGGTTCGAGATTACCGACGGGGCATAGGAGGAGGGGTAACTGGCCTTAACTCCTTCTCCCCGCTGAAGAAGTCTTTCCCTAACAACCAGGTAGCTAACTACCAAGATTCAAGTCAAAAAGTTGTGACTATCTCTACACGTTTGTAAAGACTAATGTTAAAGTTGGTATTCTTTTTTTGCAGGTTCCCTCACAGAAGTTCCCCAGAAATTCCTCTGGCATTAATCACAAGAGCTGGGTGGAGGACAGCGTGAGCCGCAATGACGGTGTTTATTCTTTCCAGGTAGGCCTACAGATAGCTTAATGCTCACTGTATTCAAGTATGCATTAAAAATCTAAAACTGAAATACGGCTTTAACCATTCTTGTTTAAACAAAATCAAACTTGGACTCTGTTTCTTTTCATTGGTACTGTCTTGTTTATTCTAGAAGCAAGAATTCTCTTAAATATGCTCATCTGTATCAAATGTAACAAAGAGGTCTTTTAGCAAAATAGGATCTTGACAGTTCAGCCAGCTGAATGGGATGAATAGAAACTTGGTGTGTGTGCGCCTATGTTTTTGATCTTATCTAGTTCATTTGGTTAAATGAGAGCAGTCTTATCATCTGGTCTGATCACATGCGCTTCCTCTTGTCCTGATTTAAGAAGTCTTGTGCTCCTCTGCTGCTTTGCATGCCTTCAGCCTTTTAATACACTCGGTAGTGAAACTTTACAGATTGCTGCACACGTACAGTCAAGTTTAGGGGTTCCTTTTACTCACCATATTTTAGTCACTATGTTCTGTGATGCTACAATGCACAGCAGTGGGGAAAATGAAGATTATGCAACAGATTTTAAACTATTTGCTTTTATCGTGCTATATGCAAAACGACTCTCTGGGGATAGTCGCTGCTGTTTTTGTGCTAACGGATCGTAGAATTGTAGCAGGCAATGCAAGGAATCTTGTGGCCTTTGCTGTTTTTAGCTTTTGAAGTAGGCGGCATGGAGTCTTAATAATTTTTTTTTTACTTTCAGCAGGAGAGGACCCGGACTTTTGATGGTTTCAGTATGCAGTCTCTGGAGAACTCTTTGATTGACATTATGAGGGCTGAACAAGATTCCTTAAAAGGTTAGTTCCCACACTAACTATTGTTTGTAGAGGACTGTTTTTCTTCACTGTCTGTAGACAAGAACAGTGGTGATCATATGTAATTGACAAGAAGCAGTGTCTGGCTAATATTTCTGCCAGCAGTCTGAAAGTGTGTGCTTCTGATTTGATGTTTTCATACTCAATGCATATATTTATTATAGATTAATATTTGTATTAGTCTTTTTTTTTGTTTGTTTTGTCTACAAATTCCAAGGAAACCGTATTTTAACTTACTGTTGTGATGTTGTTCTGTGAGTAGGATAAGGTATCACATGCTAACAATTAGGGATGTGTCCGATCCAGTATCGGTATCGGCCTCCGATACCAGCATAATTTACGTATCGGATTTTTCCGATCCACCTGCCGATATTTCCTATCCATGATGCATGTTGGCTTCAAACTATGGAATGGATTTCCTGAATAGAGGTGTCTCATGAACCCAGAGTAATAAGACCCGCCTCACATTCAGGAAATCCAGTTCATAGTTTGCAGCCAGCTACAACGTGAGGGCTGAGTTAGCATCACTGTGGCTAACAGCTAACAAACTTTTCATCGAAACATGTCCGCTGTGTGGAAGTATTTTACACTAGAAACACCACAAAACAAGACGGCACCGTGCAATGTCTGCAGAGCCATAGCACCACATTAAACTGCGGTAAAGTTAGTTTTATGATGGACATTCGAGCTCCGTGGCGCTACACTTTGCTCAACCGGAAAAAGGCGACTCGACCACGGCCAGCCGCGTCCAATCTGCCCCGCTCAATCTGTCCGTCTCCGAGGAGGGACAGATTGAGCGTGGCTGCCCCAAATCAGGCTGCTTGCTTCGGATTGAACAAGAAGAAGACATCGCTGAAACTACGGAGCTCAAATGTTTACAGAGAAGTTGCTAAACTTCATCATGATTAATGACCAACCACTATCAGTTGTAGAAAATGAAGGATTTCACAGATTGATACTTGCAGCCAAGATATAATTTACCCTCCAGGAGATATTTATCAGTACAGCAGTAGACAATCATAAAATAAAAACATGATTTGAAAATTATATATATTAAAAACAAAAACAGCTACATTATAAAGTGATGTAAAATACTAAAAACAGGAACATGTCTGTTGGTTTATGCCAGGTGTTTGAAGCCATTTAACATTTATTTTATTTAATTCATTTATTCATTCATTTAAAAGAAACAAATTTTTTTTAAAATCATCAAAAAGAAAACATTGAATGAAAAGAGTGCAGAAAGAAGAAAAATAATTTATATCTGCTCCTTATTAAAAAAAATAAATAAATAACTTTAAACAATCACTTAAATTAATCACTAATATCCACTTTAAAACTAGGAATAAAAAGAAACATGTTTTGTGTTAGCAGAATTTAATTCTAATTTTAAAACTTATCCAACATTAATAAAACTTACCTCAAGTTGCCTTTTTGGACATGCATGCATATATTTGTACAAATTTTACTTGAGAGGAGATTATTACAGCCTCATAAAATCAATGATGATCATGATATCGGAACTGGATCGGTATCGGCCGATATTCAGACTTAGGTATCGGATCGGAAGTAAAAAAAGTGTATCGGTGCATCCCTACTAACAATATGATAGCAGATGGTTAGATTACAGTGAAACAGTTTAAGGAACCCATTGTTTGCCTTTTGCAAAACACATTTTTTTAAACGGATGAACAAAATCTTAGATGAAGACATTTTTATGTTTTAATAAAACCCAACCTCATCTGGCAAAGTTTAGCTTAATTTCAGGATAGTCCTCATCTAAAGAGACCATAAAACACAGGATCATAAAAAGGCAAAATACAGCCCAATAGCCAGAGTAAGCCTTTAAAAAAATTCCTATTCTTTTCTTTCAAATAAAATTAAATGGATTAAGAATAATTAGAAAAGCAGCGTTCTATTATTAAATCTTAAGCTTTTGAAGTACGGTAAATGACCACAGCCAGACTAGAGATGTATAAACCGAAATTATATTATAAACGTTGGCCCCTTTTAACCATGAGCTGATGGTTGTTTTGCACAAATGTCAATTAACTGGCATTAGGTTTGATATCAAACCAAGTACATAAACTGTTCAAAACTTGTCATCATAAAGAGAAGGGGAAAAAATCCTGACGGTGTCTTTAGGAGCGACTGCTTTAACAGAATACTTTTCTTTTAAATTAAATGTGTGGCCCTTCAGTCGATTTAACTAAGTCAACGTGACCCTCTGCTAACAAAATATTGCTCACTTCTAATTTAAATACTCCATCTTGTACATTTGCTGGAAAACTGTAATAAATTCACAAAAATTGATTTCAGTGTTTGTATATTAATCTAAAATGGCCACTAGGAAGCACAAGCCAGTGCATCTCTTATACGGTCCCAATCCCAGGTAAATGGTGAAGGTTGTCAGGAACAGCATCCGATGTAAACACTTTTTCCAGATCCATAATGCGAGTTCATCACACCGAAACCATACCGGATCGGGCAAGACCTGGGTTAACGATGACCGCCACCAGTGCTGTTGACAAATAGGGTGCCAGCGGAAATTGTGCTACTGTTAGTCAAAGACCACGAGGAGGGAAACGTGTTTGGAGACAGAGGGAGAAGAAGAAAATAAGGAATGTAGGACTGAGGGTTGCAACTGTAAATGTGGAAACAATGACGGGCAAAGGTAGCGAGCTGGCTGACATGATGCAGAGAAGGAAGGTAGATGTTTTATGTGTCCAAGAGACCAAGTGGAAGAGCAGCAAGACTCGCAGAATTGGAGCAGAGTTCAAACTGTTTTACCATGGTGTGACTAGAGAAGAGAAATGGAGTAGGGGTGGTCCTGAAGGAGGAGTTGACAAAGAATGTAGTAGAGGTGAAGAGTGTCAGATAGGGTGATGTGCCTGAAGGTAGAAGTAGGGATGCATGATATTGGATTTTTGGCCGATATCCAATATGCTGATATGTTAACTTATTTGGCTGATAACCGATACCAATATTTTATATACTTTCCTTTGTCAGAACATAGCCCTCTCATTTAAACATATTTGATAAAAAAAAGTGCAACAGCTGTAAGAGGTGGTGGACATATATTCAGTAACAGCCATATGATATGCATAGCACTTTAACTTATATTAAATGAAAAGTGTTAAATGTTATTTATTAGTATTAGTCACCTGTCTCACTTGTGGAGGCTTGTTCCAGGTTTCTAGCTGCAGTGTGGGATCCTCTGCACTCTTGTGCATGAAGGAGAGCCTTTTTAAGTTCAAAGTTTTTGTCCACCATTGAGCCATAAGACTTAATCATGCTAACAGGGCTAACACGACATCCAAATGTCTGTGGTAAAACTCAGCCAAGTGCTATCGGCTATTAGCTTCTCAATGATGTCAGAAATAACGGCTTTTAACTCACGTAAGGCTACATCGGAAAAATATCTGACTGGGGACGATGTAGCGAGGCTCAACGTAGTCCAAAAATCTTCGGAATCGAACATCCTCAACGAAATAAAACTTTCACACTGCCGACATTTTGACTTCTTCCTCTTCATCGCGATCAGATCAGGTAGGCGCACATGACGTCATCACATTGTGTTGGCGCTGCAGGCATACTTGTCACTGGGTTGTCATACAAAAACAGCACCTTTTATATCGGGGAGTTATTTTGATTGAATGGCCGATGTCCGATATTGAACCTTAATGCTAATATCACCGATACCATGCTGATAATATTGTGCATCCCTAGGTAGAAGTAGAAGGTCTGATGCTAAACATTGTCAGTGGTTATGCTCCACAGGTTGGATGTGATGAGAAGGAGAAAGATGCATTTTGGAAAGATCTGGATGAAATGATAGAGTATTTCCAGAGAAGAGAGAGAAGTGATCAGAGCAGACCTGAATGGACATGTTGGTGAAGGAAACGGCGGGATGAGGAAGTGATGGGTAGGCTCGGTGTCAAGGAAAGAAACCAGGAAGGACAGATAGTGGTGGATTTTGCCAAGAGAATGGAAATGGCTATAGTCAACAACCTATTTCCAAAAAGAGGGAGGAACATGGTGACCTAATAAGAGTGGAGGAAGGAGTGTGCAGGTTGACTACATTCTGTGTACAAGAGGAAACCTGAGGGAGATTGGGGACTGTAAGGTTGTGGCAGGGGAGAGCATGGCTAGACTGCATCAGGTGGTTGTGTGTAGAATGTCTGTTGTTGTGGAAAAGAGGAAAATCAGAGAAGACCAAATAGTGGAAGATGAAGAAGGAAGAATGTTCTGAGAAATTCAGAGAGGAGCTGTTAAAGGCTCTGGGTAGTAAGAAAGAGCTTCCAAATGACTGGGCTACTACAGCAACAGTAATTGGAGACAGGCAGGAAGGTATTTAGTGTGTCATCTGGACAGCGAATGGATGATAAGGAAACCTGGTGATGGAATAGTGAAGTGCAGAACGCCATTTAAAGAAAGAGATTAGCCAAGAAGAAATATGACAGTGAGAGGACTGAAAAGAGGAGACTGGAATATAAGGAGATGGGACGTAGAACAAAGAGGGAAGTAGCTAAGGCAAAGCAGAAGGTGTATGATGAGTTGTATGGGAGGCTGGACACTAAAGAGGGTAAGAAGGAATTGTACCAAATGGCAAGACAGAAGGATCAAGCTGGAAAGGATGTGCAGCAGGTTAGTCTCATTAAAGATAGAAATGGTAATGTTCTAACAACAAGTGAGGAGAGTGTGATGGGAAAATGGAAGGAGCACTTTGAGGAGTTAATGAATGAAGAGAATTAATGGGAAAGAAGAGTAGAGGTTATAGAAACTGGACCAGGAAGTGGGAAAAATTAGTGAGGGTCAAGTCCAGAAAGCTCTGAAAAGAATTGTTACAACAGGAGATGGCTGCAGGTCACCGGTCACTGCAGCTAGCTGTTGCTAGCCATGGGCCTCAGGCCTCCTCTCTGACTCAGGACCTGCCTCCAGCCCACATCGCTCCCCCGGCTCGAAACTCCCTCAGAAGCGGCAACTCACACTTAACAATAAATCAAGGAAACATGAATTCAGTTTTACCAATTGTATTAAAATCAAGGCAGGAAAAGGTTACAGTTTACAGCGCTGGCCCGTCCGGTCTATAATGCGATCACAAACTGGAAGGGCAGATGTCCCGTGTCATTACTGATTTATATGGCCTAGACCCCTCCCTTCGCAGAAGGGGAGCTCAACCTGTCACTTGTATCAGGGGGCATGACTAAAGCCCCCAGTGTACTCCCGCGTACGTCCGTTCACGCGTACGTACGTGTACTGTACGCAGAGGGTTCAGACTTCAGACTCCAGCGTACACCCTGAGCAGCTGCAGAGCAGCTTCACAGACGAGGGGCGTTTATCTTCAGTACAAATTGAGGTCGCCGATTGGTCATTTGTTGACTCGCCTACTGGATTGATTGACAGGTCGGGGAGAAAAAAAAAAGAGCCCTGACAGCCTCAGCCGCAGCGGTGTTCTATGTTGTTAATAAAAAGATCTAAAAAAAAAAAAAAAACAGGGAGCGCTGGCTCTACAGCCCACACATCAAACCAGCCCACCAGGAAATCTCCAGACCCTCCCGCAGCCATGCTGGATCCGAGTTTAATTCTCTCGTGACACATTCATTCATTTCTCACCATTTCAGTCATGGCATCAATGGAGGAGGAAGAGATCACTGCCTCTTGGCAAAAAAAAAAAAGAAAAGGCCAGATCAGGGATGAAGAAGGAGAATTTAATACATTGGTGTCGCATACATAACAGTTAGTCACCGGGCAGTTTATTGTGCGACTACGCGTATGCGGTCGTAAAAATTGAGCTTTGCACGGACATGCCCTGCTCATACCTTCGCGTACGTACGTGCGTACCTCTGCGTATGGACGTACGCAGGAGTATACTGTGAGCTTCAGTGAAGACTCAAAGCAGTCTGCTGGCTCTTTAAATAAATAACGTTATTAATGGACCTTTTTTTTTTTTTTAATATATGAATGTTTCTGTTCAGTGCCCTGAGACGACTTCTGTTGTGACTTGGCACAATATAAATAAACTGAATTGAATTGTTTTTACGAGTTGGGAGTTCTTTCACGGCATTATGTTCTGAGCCCTCTACTGTTTTTCTTTTTTTATTTTGTCATTTAGGACGCTACAGCTTCTCTCATCAGGGTGGAGATGTGCCTCTACCTATGAATGGTATGTAAAATAACATGCAGCACTGAAGCCAAGTCAGAGCTTGAAAACTGTGTCTGCCAAATGCGGATAAAATCGGCAGGCATTTATGAAATCCTCTTAGCATGGTGGATGGAAATTAGATTTTGAAAATACAACTTGCATAATCTGGCTACGACATTTGTACTTTAACAAGTTGTGCAAGAGAGTGCAAGAGCACTTTATAAGAATGTAACTCTACATCTAGGCCACATTGATAAAAAAGAAGTCTAGATCATCTGTGATTTGTAGGGTATCCCTGCCTTAAGTTAAAAAAATATTCAGTTATGTTCATTAGTTTTTGAGTAAAGCTGCAGACAACTTAAACCATCAGTCAAGCCTCTTGGCAGAGTTGAAAGAAAAATATCACTCCAGTTATGCTGCTTGGTAGACAGGCATATTCGTCACTGGTAAATTACTATAATTGGTGCGTCAAGTAGGAAAAGGATGCTATTATTACTTTTAGGAGTTGCAGCCATTTCAGCTCGTGTCCCAGATACATTTCAAGCCTTGTTAGTGTTATACAAATTGTTGTAAGATGCCTAATTTTCAAGAGTGTTTTGTGTTTTACATGCAGCAAGAAGTTATGGCAGGAGACGAGGTAAAGCTTGTGAATGTGTCTTCATGCAGCGTGGTCACTCGTTCTGCCTTTGTGTCTGTCTGCCTGATTTTTGTCATTTGTTCTGCCTTTAAATGTTGTCAGGAACCCTTTTTTGTTTGCAATGCTGGTATTTACAGTATTTCAGGTTTCTTATCAAAGCAATAATTACATTCTTGCTTTTACTGAGTCATCAAAAGTGGCTCTCATGATGGCTTCCTGTATTCCTTTTTTTTAACCTAATTAAATTTATTTTCATTCAAATCAGTCTAATTTCCATGCTCTCTGTCAAAATTAGACATTTTTTCAGACTTTTTGTGACAAAACTGTTTGTAATTCAATTCTCCCCCCCCCCCCCCCCCTGTTAGGTCATTCGTCTCTGTTCCCTATGGAGGATGAGCGCTCATTTGGAGAAGATGATTCTGGTGACCCGGGCCTTCCTGGTCTTGGTTCAGCACATTGTTTCCCTCACCTCAACGGTGAACATGTTGAGCGTTACTCAAGGAAAGTGTTTGTCGGAGGACTGCCACCAGACATCGACGAAGGTGAAGACTTAAACTTTGTTACTGTTTGACTGTTAGAAATAAGAGCTGTCACATATTTACAAGTTTGATTTGTTTGTTCACACCTTTTCCATAATTATTAATCTATTCTACTACTGTAAAAAAAGTATATATTTTTTAAATATTTTATAATTTTTTTTTATTTATTTTGGATAACCTTCTCTAGTAGTGTTTCTGAATTACAGTAGTCTCTACTTTGCAGTTCGACTTTCATGGATTCACTCTTTCGCAGGTTTTCATCACAAGATTGTACACGACACAATTAGCTATGGGGAAAGACAGCCCCCACCCCCTCCTTTCTCTTTCTGAGGCTGTCTCACAGCAGAGCAGAGATGTGCAACAGCCGCGTGCTCGCAGCAGACAGCCTTGGAAAAAGAGGGGGGGGGGGGGGTCTGTCTTATACCTGAGTGAGCCATGTGAGAGGCATGGATTGTTTATTTAAAATAATCAAGCGTGAACCGAGCCTTTAGCCCTCCGCAATCAATGAGAGGTAGAGTTTTATTCTGGCCCAAAAAATCAGATCCGGCCCCAGCCTGCAGTCATAATTTCCAAACTCCACCCAACCGGATGAATTAACAGTAATTATAGTTCCGAACCCGGGGAAAAAAACAGACATTGTTAATTAGTTATTAACGGTCGGGGACGCGCAGCTGAACAAAAGGGCAGAAGATTTGGAGCGGAGAGGTGTTTGTCCTTTCATGGCCGTAAAAAAGCGTTTAAACCCTGTTTCTGCCTGCATTCTTCTGAATTACTGAGACACGCGTCTGCTTTGGGATCTCACCTGTTTGGGTCATCAGTCGTGCGCGTCGGCTGAGTGCAGTGGCAGAATGAACGTCCATTTGGGCGATGGATCGCTGCCTGGCAGTACAGTCCCAGCTGAAGCTTAACTGAACTTTTTATCTCTTTCAAGACCAGTCAGCTCCCGGTGAAATGGTCGTGTGCAGCTGGTGGATGTATGGCAGGCCATTTTATCATATAATTGGATTGCGGCTGATCCTGACCTAGTTAAAAGCCCGAGACTGGCCCGGCCCGCCCATTAATCACATTATAACGGCCCGGCCCTAATCCGGGTCGGTCAGGGCCAGGTTTCGGGTTAGAAATGACCGCTCTAATGAGCGGGCCAGGCCACCAGGAAATGTCCTGGTGCTCCCAATGGCCAGTCTGCCCCCGGGCTCAGTAACCGTAGCATCAAATTGTCTGCTCTCTTTCGCTGTGCTCTTTTAGAGTGTTTAGAATGTTAAGAACAATGCAGTGTGGGAATGGTTTATAAAGCCTTAAAGCATGTATAAAATAAATATAACGTCCCTACTTAGCAGATTTTCACCTATCGTGAAGGTGTCTGGAACGTAACCCCCGCGATAAGTGAGGGACTACTGTACTGAGTTCCTCCCTTTTTCCCCCCAGATGAAATCACTGCCAGTTTCCGCAGATTCGGACATTTATTTGTAGACTGGCCTCACAAGGCGGAGAGCAAGTCCTATTTTCCACCCAAAGGTGAGTCGAGTCATCTCACCATTAGTCTCCGTGTAGTGGTGTGATTTCTGTGCGTGCTTATTTCTCCTGATGTTTTGTTTCTAGGATATGCGTTCCTGCTGTTTCAAGATGAGAGCTCTGTCCAGGCTCTGATTGATGCCTGCATTCAGGAAGACGGCAAACTTTACCTTTGTGTCTCCAGCCCCACCATTAAAGACAAGCCTGTGAGTGTGCATCCATCTGTGGTGATGATTACACACTGAAATGTTTCTCTCTAATTTTATTTTACCACCGTTTTTTTTAAACGCACCTGATTCAGAGGCAGTGTTGCATTTTTTTTGTTCCCCTCTCATTTTTTTATAGGTCCAGATCCGGCCCTGGAACCTTAACGACAGTGATTTTGTAATGGACGGCTCTCAGCCATTGGACCCAAGGAAGACCATCTTTGTTGGAGGTGTTCCCCGTCCCCTACGTGCAGGTACATGATCGAGCAGAACCCCAACTTATAATATTTCTGTCATTAGGACTTGAGTTTTTACCATGGGGTGTTGTTCCAGTTGAGCTGGCCATGATCATGGACCGTCTGTATGGGGGAGTGTGTTATGCCGGGATCGACACAGACCCGGAGCTCAAGTATCCAAAAGGTGCAGGGAGGGTGGCCTTCTCCAATCAGCAAAGCTACATTGCAGCCATTAGCGCCCGATTTGTTCAGCTGCAGCACGGGGAGATTGATAAACGGGTGAGTTGATCTGTGGTCTGAAGTTTACACCCACTCATTGTGGAGATCGTCACATTAAACTGGGGCTTTTATCATTTTATTTACCTCGTGCCATTTCCAGGGAGAAATGACAAAAATTAAAAAAAGATATGGAAATACGAGTTTAAATGTATTGTGGATTTTCTACAAACATTCACCTAAATCTTTAATAATTGGTTCAGATGGTTCCAGACTCTTTAACTTGTTGGTGATCATGAATGACTGCAGCTCATAGTTGTTGGTTTTTTTTTTTTTGGTCAGAATAACAAGGACTGGTTTGACAGCACTGACTGAAGTAACCAGTACTACCAGTACTAAGAATGGTGGGAAACGGAAAAAAAAAGCAACTGTGAAAATTGTAGATTTTCTTAAGTTGGGAAAGTATTTTGAAGTCTTGTCTAAATTACTTCAGATTTCAACATTATCAGCTCACAAAACTGTACTAAGATGAAGTTCTTCAGATGTTTCTACTTGGTCAAGGTCTGGAGAAAAACTCAAACTGTGACTCCAGATCAAAGGAACTTTGGATGTTCAGGAACCACCAAGGCTCAAACCTTGAAAGTGTTGTCCACAGTGAAGCCAGACTGAGAGGATGATCAAGATCAAGAAGGAAAATCCTGTCCTAAACCTGACATCTTCAAGCTTGACTGAAACTTGTGAGCCATAGCCCAATGCCTTTTGAAGAAAGGAACAATGTGACAAACATTAAACCATTAGACCCCAATGACCAAAAATAAACAGTGAGTCTGTCGAGCCTAAGAACATTGTACCTAGATGTACTGTGGTAGTGGTGATGTCTTATTGGCGGGGGAGCTGGTGCGTTGCACAACATGGATGGAAAACTGAAGGAAGTCAACCTCCAAACTCTTCAACTTCATGAAACATGAAACCTGGTTTCTGAATAATGAAGCAGAATAACATTAGGCTGCTGGAAGAGCATTCCCAACACACCAACGTGGGCTCTTTTGAAAATTTGTGGACTGCTTGAAAGCTGGATTTGGCCCAGGAAACCAACCATTTATGAATTCTTCTTAGTGGCCAGATGTCCAACCAAAGTTATGCCAGACATGTGTCGATGGTTATAAAAATCATGTGGTTGAAGGGCTCCTTGCTAAGAGGACAATTGACCAAATTTTAGTGGGGGGTGTATGTAAATATTTGATCTTGTTTGGATTAGAGCAAATTCACAATTCAAGTTGTTTTTCTATTCAGGTGAAAAAAAACAAACTATATAATAGTCCCTCATTTATCACGGGGTTTAGGGGACCACGCCTCCTGTGATAAGTGAAAAACCATGAAGTAGGAGGGATACAGTAGTCCCAAGTTCAAGTTTCAGTCTCAGTCTCCCGCCTTAAATAATTTGAATTTAAATACTGTAATATTGTAAATCAGTATTTAAATTTAAATTGTAAAGAAGAGAAGTGCAACAGGACAGCAAAGGGTTAACTCTTCACAAAGCTGCTGCTGCAGGAGGAGAAATGTGTGGGTGGTGGAGAGCCGCAGGCGGCAGAGAGCGCAGATCATGACAGGCTGCAGAGGGAGCTTCTCCCTGCACCTGTGGGCTACACACAGCAGGTGCTAAATCATTTAAAATAATTTCATTTTAAACGATCCATGCCGCTCGTGTGGCTCATCCACCTGTCATGTCCACTCAACTTTGAAAACCTGCGATAGAGCAAGTCTGCAAAAGTCAAACCACAAAGTAGCGAGGGACTACTGTATATTGTATAATCTTTTTGCCTGGTAAAAAGAACAATTGATCAAATTTCAATAACTAAAAGCTCCAAATATGCATGTTTATGGGTGTATCATTTTTGGTACTTGCAACCATAAGCTTGGAAAAAAAAATAATTTCCACCATTTTGCAGTTCAGGCTTTGAAATATTTCTCGGCCTCCATTTTGATACTTTTCCTTCCCGTCCTCCATCTCCTCCGTCAGGTGGAAGTGAAGCCATATGTCCTGGATGACCAGCTGTGCGACGAGTGTCAGGGCACTCGCTGCGGGGGGAAGTTTGCCCCCTTCTTCTGCGCCAACGTGACCTGTCTGCAGTACTACTGTGAGTACTGCTGGGCAGCCATCCACTCTCGGGCTGGCCGCGAGTTCCACAAGCCGCTGGTGAAGGAGGGAGGGGACCGGCCGCGACACATCTCCTTCCGCTGGAACTAAAGCTAAACGGACGGGGGAGGGACTACGGGAAAATTAGGGCAGGGGTACGGGGCTGTGAAATGAAAAATAAATGCACTTTTCTTTTAAGTTAAAAAATAATAATAATTTATTTTTTATTTTTTTAAATTGAGCCATCTAAAAGAAGTAACTGCTAAAAAGAGTAAGATCCCATTTATGTTTTGACTTTAAGTGTGCATGAGCATATAAGAATTTCTGTTTAGGTTTTTCTTACCCGAGTGTGTATTTTCTTTTTTTAGTTGGCAAAGCTGCTTTACATTTGTAACTTTGAGGTTCATCGTACTTAAACCAGTATACGAACTATGGAAGTTGAGTTTAAAGAAGGGTGCATTTTCTTATTTTTCTCCTTTTTTTCTTTGCAAACCTGGTAAACGGCGGTAACATTTACCAAAGGTCGAGTGGAAACGGTTGGATGGATTATTCAGTTCATGTAGGTTCTTGTACAACATTTGGCTCACGTCACAAAAACGAAATCTTCCCTCAGTTTGGCGCACTCGTTTAGATCGTCGGCACGATATTTTAGGTCTTGGTGTACACGTCAACACTTTGTAACCAGAAAGATCAAACCAAAGATTGGCCTAAAACCTATTATTGATCCTTGATCAGGGGGTTTTCAGTTCAGTTGTCTTCATCGTACCACAGAGGAAAGGCAGGAGTTTGGGTTTGAGCTGATGGAGAGACACGGCCCTCAGGGCTCAGGTATTGGCAGTAGTATTTATTCACTTTATATTGTCAGGGATATTAGCACTGGAAGCTAACATACTAATGTAGTACTAATGGGAATGCACAGTCAAGTGTCCCTGAGCTGTCATGGTGCACCACTGCACGCTCTGCTGTGACTGACTGCAGCTTCCACCACACGCCTGCTGTGGTTGGACATGGTAGTAGCTTGAATTTACTGTCGCAGAGATAAAAAGATATTATTTTATACATGGCCTGCTGATTTTTGTACAGTGTTTTATAGCCGATTATTTTGTCATGAACATATATACATTTATTATGCACTACTTTTTCTAAATATTTTTTTCAATAGTCATTTTAGGCACATTTTTCACAAAATGGGAGAACTCCTTTTGCAATACCTCATTTTTTTCACTTGGTGGAAAAATAATTTTGTACCTTTTGTTACTAAGAGATCTGCATTTATTGTAAATTTAATTTAAAGAAGAAGAAAAAAAAAGGTGATTAATATAATTTTCGATTAGCTTTTTATATATTTAAGTGCTGGTAAACCTGAAAATCGTCTGGTGCATTGGTTGTGATTCTGTAGATTTGGCAACAAAAAAAAAACAGAAAAAAACGGCTATTGTTAGCCAGTCGTATACACGTTTTCTCTCCTAATAAACATTATTACAGGATCCTAAGGCATGGCGAGACCTTTCTTAACTGATTTTGATAGTCTTGAGTATAAATAAGCTGATATTTTACTCCTAGGTGTAGTCGGTAAGATCATTAAGGTAAATGTTTTTTTTGGTGGGTGTAAAATCTTCGACAGCCTGAGTGGATATCTGCTGTTTTGAATTTTTAGGTCTTCTTTTTGAAACTGCCTGTATGTTCTTCTTCTTCTTGGCATGCATAAGAGATAACGTGGCTAGTGATAATGCAGGACCTAATGTAATGCACTAGATCTCCTTTCCAACTTTCTGTTCCTCATCTCTCTGAGATTTCGCCTCTCTTGTAGCCTCTTTACATAACTGAGTCTGCCTTCCTGACACAGACGTGATGTTTATGCAACACACACACACCGTAACACTTTGGACGTGTTTTGTAACGTACAGGACACTCTAAAGCATACACAAGGAGACACGATCACTTGACCCCCCCTCCACCCCCGTCACCCCTCCTTTTGTGATGTGGCATGCTTTGGGACATAATCTGAATGTTATTTAATGTTGCAAGTTAACGTTCGAGCCATTATGTGCAATACTTAACTCTTGTTTTCAGAAACAGTTCTCCGCAGTGTAAGTCATCTGATCGTCTAAATCATGCAGTCTTTTTACACGTTTTGATTTGATTTCCTATTCATGCTGATGTTTGCGAAAGAGAAAAGTTTGTACTAGAATTTTATTTTGTAAGCGTTTTAGTTTTTCTGCTTATTTACTTATTTTGCTACTACCATGCTACTGTGATTGAACACGTTGTATATACTAGGTCGACGATGTATTTAGCTTTGGCTATATTTTTGATTGAAATGTCTATCATTCTGATCAGAATTGTTTTTTTTGTTGTTTTGTTTTTTTGGGGTGAAGTGTTGAAGTCTGTCTAGTTTTTCTAATTGCTGTAACATGCTCCACATTTTCACACGAAAAGATTAATTATGTCTTAGTACGACTTGATTGGAATTTATCAATAGTTTTTAATTGAATGCTGGGAAGGTCATATTTATTAACTTTTTTTTTTTTTTTTACTTGATTTTGATTTTTACTAAGTCATTTCACATTTATTTGTAAGTTCAGATTTTTATATTTTCCTCCTGATTTATTTGCGCTACAATACAGGCATCAGTTTTTATAGTTGGTTTGTAGTATTGAAGTAAAAGACCTAAAGTCACTCATTGGTTTGCTGCCAACTGTTTGTAACTGTATGCATACATTTGAAGTATTTGTAACGTGAGATGTTGAACGAATAAAAAACAGCTGTGAGGAAGAAAATCAACTAGAATTTTTTTTTTTTTTTTTTTTTAAGAAATCCTGTTTTGTTTTTCCACCCTTTTTAGGATCTAATGAGTTTGACGTGTCAACAAAACGTTTGTACATGTAGACCGGAGCTGCTGCTCTGGGAGAACATTTGTTGCACATCTGGTGAGCTAAATCAGGTCAGAGGTATTTATAGGCAGAGGCTTATTTGGGCCCATCACACGTGTAATTTAGCTCAACTAAATCTCGTCTCAAATCCCGCTTTTCTAGTTAAATAAGGCAAGTTGCTCCAAATATAACATCTCAACATTTTCTGAGTTCAGTCAAATTTTTGTGGGGATGTTTTAAAAACTCATTAGAAACTGCAGTGAAACATGAAGTTTACTTCAGTATTCAGACCCATATTTAAATCCTCCACAGCTGAACTCTGGTACGTTTGTTTCAGAGGTCCTTTTTCAGGTCTGTGTGTTTATAACTGGGCAGGTGAAGGCCGAGCATTCCTTTTTAAGCAGGGGCGTCCAAAGTGTGGCCCGAAGGCCATTTGCGGCCCTTGGAGGGATTTTAGACGGCCCATGATGAAGTTGCATTCAAGCCCAAAAAAATCTGACCTGGCCCCAGCCCGTAGCCATATTTTCCGAACCCCACCAGACCCAACAAATTAACAGTAATTACAGGTCTGAACCTGACACCCCCCCCCCCCCCCCCCCCCCCCCCCCCCAACATTTTATTTAAGCTTTGACTGCTTATATAGTTAACGGTCAGCTGACATGTCCTTGTCATGTCGTCCTTTCATGGCTGTCAAATTGTATTAAATCCCTGCTTCTGCCTGCATTCTGCATTATTCAGACACGGACCCTGCTCTGACATGTCTGATGTTTTAGTATCTCAACTGTTTGGGTCATCGGCCGCGCGCGTCTCCTGAGTGAAGTGGCTGAATGAACATCCATTTGGGCGATGGATCGCCAGCAGTAGTCCATCTGAAGCTTAACTGAACTTTTTACCTTTTTCAAGGCTGATCAGTGTGTGGTCAAATGGTTGCGTGTGGCTGGTGATGGTATGGCAAGCCATGTTGCCATATAATTGGATCGTCAGCCGCACACATCTGCTGACGCAATCAAAAGCCAGACACAACCTGGCTCGTACATTATTATGGACCGACCTTAATCCAGGTCAGGCCGGGTTTGGGTTAGAAATTACAGCTGTAGCCCACGACTGCAATTAAAGAAAAGTATAATTTCAACTCACAGACTTAAAAGGTTGATGCAGATGTAGACCTTCTTTAGATTTAATGGTGATACTTTTTAAATGTAATTTTTAGGTTTAGCAGAAAAAAATGTGAAAATCTTCTCAAAATCAGTGATATTAAGTACAAAACAAAAATGTTTCTACAAATACAACAAACCTTCACTGACCTATCAGTAAAATTTTGGATAATTTATCAAACTTTGCTAAATACAATGTTTTTAAAGAAAGTGCTTTCAGTGGATTTAATAATCGATGGGGATACAAGTTGATCAGCTTTATCGGTCCCTTCCATGAATCTGTTTTAGCGACTGCCAGCTGTTTTTCAGAACTTTGATGACCCATCCAGATCGTCCATGGTCCAAATGGAGGCTTGAAGTTCCACACCCTTTTTTAAAAGAATTCATTTTAGGCTTTTGTCTGTGAAAATAAAAATGAACTTTCAAAGCACAAGAAAACAAATTACATTCCCAAAAATATAATAAATTAAATTCTTAAAAAAAAAAAAAAAAGGTTAATGCTTGAGGCTCCTAATGTTCTGGATCTACAAGAATTTAAACTAAACTTTTAACCGTTCTTCAAAATATTCAAGTTTATAAAAATTAGGAGAAAAAGATCAGGCGTTAAACAATTTTTTTTCCTCAAATTCATTTTTTTCTTGCCCGCGAGTCCTTTCACCTAGCCAGTTCTGGCCCACCTATGAAAATGTTTGGACACCCCTGCCTTAAAAGGAATGCATATCACCCACCACCTTCTAGGCCAGAGTTTTTGAGACAAAATAATCCTTAAAAATAGCATCATGCACAGATATATTGTGTTTGGGTTGTGAACGATTCGGTGCTACTATAAATCATATTTTACATCAAATTCTGTTCAACTGAGTTAATCCTTATTTTCCAGTGTTATGTGGTGGCCATCTTGATTTGAATTTACTTCAAAGGTTATTCAGTTGTAGACTTACATCCAGTGATGATTTTTGTTTATTTTATTCAAATCTCATCCAAACTTGTCCAGCGGTTCATGAGACATTTTGACAAAAACACACAAGCAAAACCGTTCTCTGCCTTTCGGTGCAGGGTGACAAATGGTAAACATGATGGTAAAATGTCTAAAGCTCTGCAATGAGCTATAGATGATTGAGTCAAAAC